TTTACTACCCCGTCGATATTGCCATCAACGCAAAGGGTGTCACGCACCGTAGCGATATCTATGTTTCGGATACGGTTAACAAGTGTAAACAGCCACAGCGTATAATCTCCCTCTTACTTCCAACCCCCAGAAGCGACTTCCTAATCGGACTCTCCTCTGTAGATTTCGGGCCCCAAAACACCAGCGCGGTCTCGTCGACGCCAGATTCAGATTTGGTGGGAGATGGATAGGAAATGAGGGGTGCTTTCTGCTCGTGCATGTTCGCAAACAACACCCAAGATCAAAGAGCACCAGGTATAAATGTAGACGGTTGTGGAGTATGACACTCGCAAGTTTCGGTGGGGACAGATTGACGTTGAGGCCGAAGGCGGGACGACAGGCGCGGGCGATCACGTGACGCGCGTGTTCAAGGATTCGCCCGCCAAATATTTGCATCTGTTTACGGGGCACTGCTGCCTACCCAGGTCCCCACTCGGCTCATCGATTATCACTCGGCCGCTGCCAACACTCAAGTAGTATTCGCGCTGTACGATGAACTACATACTGCCGCACATGTACATGTGCAAACCAGAGTTGAAGCTTTGGAGCGCGAATTATATAATCGTTGGGCTCTCCTTTCTTGTCGGAACTTGCCCCCATTGGCATCAATACACGTGGGAAACGATAATATTTGGGCCACGGTGCTTCAAGCTTGGTCCATGCTTGGTCCACGCTTGGTCGCGCTTGGATACGCACGCTGAACGCTGAATCTTCCCTTGGTCTTCCATCGTATATCTGGCAGTGGCAGAGGGACATCGGCGGGTGGCATCCCTGCGGTCTCTCCTCTGTCGTTTTTTCTCCCCCGTTTCCGCTATGTCACCCCCCGTTCAGGCAGATGCCTCGGCGACCAACCCGGGGACCTACATTGCGAGTGCCGTCCTACCGTATATGCCATATTCAACCGAGAAGCTTCACGCGTCTACGTACCGAGAGCCAACGAGGAACAGACTTCTCCAGCATGTCGAGCGCATCTCAATCGACGAACTTAACCGCGCTACTCTCGAGTGTGAGCCTCAGCGCACGTTGTCCAACCGCACGGTCTGCTGGCTGACCTGCGCTCGCTCAGATTTCGAGCAGGGCCTATTGGCTCGGACAATAGAGACATCGGCACTGCCGCCAAAGCTATACGTTCCGGCGGAGGGTTTCGTTACTATCGATCAAACAGACTGGCTCAAACCCCCTTACATTGAGGCTACAGTGGGCAGTTGGATCCAGAATATCCCATGCGTGACCGTCGAGAAATTACTCCAGCACCTGGATCCAGCCTGCGAAGGCTGGGATTTCCAGCCAACCGTAGGGAAGGCAGCCGAACTGGTGGACCTTTCGTGGCAACGTCGCGTGAGTGACGCTGATAATACGGTAGTCAACTCTCGCTTGTCAATGGAGATCAAATGTCCCTGTAAGTGAAAAATCCGCTCGATCAGCATACAGAAACCGACATTGTCATAGGGAATTTCACCGAGAAGGATCTCGACACATTCATTAACATGCGCGAGGTACGTATGTCCCCCTCTTACTTGCTCCATGGGCACGCTTTCTAACACAAGATCCAGCCACCAACCGTCTTCACCGAAGAGCAAAAGGCGAAAAAAGCAAAAAACCTTAATAAATGTGAGCACCCTTACGAAGCAACTTAGTGCCAAGATAACCGATCTCCGCTGGTGTAAGACCAAAAGCTATGGTGTCAGGTAATACCCTTGCTAATTTTGAGTTGCACCCGTCTTAATACGCTTTGATGTAGATATACGATTATGCTATCGTTCAAGGCGCCCGATTCTTCATCGTCTCCACATATGAAAGTTGGGTTTTTGGCTGCTTTAGCAAAAATTACTCGACGGCCTGGGGTAAGTCGACGTTTCCTTGTATCAGCCGAACCTACCACTTACGCGCGATCTAGTTGCACCCCCCATACACTACAACTCACGGGGTCCCACGCTTGTTCAGTACCTCATCTATTGGGTTCAATCAGCAATGAGTGCCGAGGGCGGGTGGCTAATCCCAGAGGTTTGTGGAGAATTACCCATCCCCCAGCGCGCAGAGCCTTTTACGAGGCGAGAGGTACAGAGAAAACACCACAAACAGATGTGTGCCATTGCTCGTGCCGACGTGGCCACGTCTTCGCCTATTTATTCTCATAAGACCGCTCGGGCTGCTGCCGTAGCGCGAGCGACCTTTGCTGTCTCCTCTGCGTCATAACATCATTCTTCTTTCATTCGGTGTACTTACATATCTTTCATCTTAATGTATAGGCTCCTGCCGACAAGAATCTACGATGGTTCGCAGTGATCCTCAGTACTACGATTACCCAGGCGCTGCCCGACGAAAAAGAAGAGTTTCCTGACTCTGCGACGTTCCCGCAAGCAGCGATCGATGGAGGGGCCGTGATCCAGCCAGAGGCCGTTCAAGATTACGTCTTTCCAGACGATATGGTAACGATGAAGCATGTGAAACGACAGAGGGTGAAGGACCGGCAAACAATGCCAACATCCAAAGTGGCAGAACACGGAGATCCAGTCCATGGGCTCAAGCAACCACCTTTGGGAGTCGACGTGGGGGCCAAAAAGCGCGAGAAGAAGCCAATTAAGCTTGAAGAGGAAGAGGTTGGGTGAGTATGCCCCCGTTCACCACACCGCTACACCCAAAATTTAATTCTGTTTTTTAGGCCCGGCAAGCTGCGCAAGCCGATGACTCCCACCTCGGCTTTCTGGCACCGCGTGTATACGATCATTTTTCAGTCCTCGCCACTGGCAGCACTGGCAGCACTGCTGCACGCGCCATCCGCTCCTAGCACAGCCGATTCTGAGGCTCCCACTCGTGAAGACTTGGCGACATCACCACCCAACACGCTCAACAGTCTCAATCAAAGAGTGTCGCATAAAGTGCCGTATATCAATGCCTCTCACTCGCGCGTCATCCGTCGTCTCCCCCGACGCTCCACGTCTTAGGCATATCCCATATATTCCTTGGCCTCCCTAGACATGACATATGTGAGTCTCTATAGATCTATGCCACTTTGGCGGACCTAGATAAACGAATATCTAGAGAATCCATAGACAACACTCGCTTCACACAACGGCTAGGTATCAATAGACTTTTTCCCTTTTCCTTTTCCTTTGCATATCTTGAATCCACTGCAATTCCTACTGGTATGTATCTCCACGCGCCTGGCTTCATTTCCACCACTGATCCAGTATCCACCACAGGCTTATCTAGCGACGGCTATCTTCTTGGGCGGACTCTCGGCGGTCTCATCAACTGTTGAGTACACCTGGTCTCCGCATGGACTTGCTTGATTATACCTATGTATCTTGTGTTCGCTCTCGGCTCGATCTCTCTCCTTCACTATCTCATCTCGATTCGAAAGCTCTGCGGAAAGAAAGGGAGCCTGCGCTAGAGAAAACGTCAAAGCTATGAATTGGTCGATTGTTCCTGAAGACAGGCCGAAACTCTGCCAAGTTCCTGCGCGACCAAAGGTGCACTGCCTGGCGTCCCAGCAAATAGCCTCGTCTCCGAATGACGTCACTCGCATCCCTCTCAATGCTATACCAGATGTCGCACACGCAAGCCACAGGCATCATATCTAGAGGCGGAATACGGGGCCGACGCTCCCTTTATTCGAAGATACCCAGAAAAGATCTTTGCTAGTGTCTGGCGGCGATCACCGATGCAACCGTGCAACGAGCTGGGGCGTACTTGGGCGTCTGTTCAGTCACCAGAGCAACCAAGGGTACCAACTAATTCGGGCGGGCAAATTCCGGGGCTTAGTATATCGGATCGCCACAGGGAAGGAGGGAATAAAGTGAAGATGTATGTGGTTAGAGTGTGTGCCTTGACGACTCTTGCAAACCGTGTTTTCAATATAGAATCAATTTTCCCTACTGCATGCATGCCCACTTGGCTGGCGAAACGGTACCGTGCGCTGAAGGCCATCCTGCACCAAAGTTGCGAACATTGATTGATGTCTCTGTTGTTGTTCCCACCAGTAACACGCATAGGAAACGACAGGATTTGGATGCTTGATCGCGCCTGGATACGCCCACTGAGCCTTGCTTGCGCCCTTGGTCTTTCATTGTATACACATCGGGCGGGCGATGGGATGTCACCCCTGCCAGTTCTCTGCCCCACCGCCTTTCTTCCAAGATTCCGTCTGCGAACAGAAAGGAACGCCGAGCCAGTGAAAACACTGAAGCTACGATTGCCGGGCCCGAACACTGTTACACGGACACGTTAATCTGTATCCCGACAAACCTCCGCGCTGCCTATGCGATCGAAACTGCACTACCCAGTGCCCAGAGAGTAGGAATGACAACTCCTGCACCACTTGCAATGCTCACGGCGCAACCCTTGCAACAGGAGACATATGAAAACCAATACCCACTTTTTCTCTCTCTGAGGATCGGGAAGCCGTCTCAATGCACTTGGGCATATGATCGCCGAGGCGACTGCTAGCTTTCCTCAGTATTGACCTATCCACGTAGGGAATGATAGATGTAAGTAGCATCATGGGGAGTAGAAAAAGCCGAGCCTTGTGATCCGCAATCAGTGTATAAGATCAGGCCCCTAGCTGGTTTACATGGCCGCCTGGCGAAATGGTATCGCGTCTGACTACGATTTCGTTATCAGGAGATTGCAGGTTCGAGCCCTGCGGTGGTCAATAACCTTTTACATCTGTGGCGTAAAGTATTTTCTATAGAGCCCTTGCTCTTACTCAATTTTTTTTTGCTCAAATACAACATCCACATCATGGATATTTTCAGTATCTTAGCCCTTTCGTGTTCATGCTCGTTAGCTTGGACCTTCTTGCCATACTCATGCGAGGGCGAGGGCGGGTACAAGTGCGCTAGTGGGTGCGCCGATGGCAAGTAAGCGAGCAGCGCAAAAACTCGGAGCCATGTGCTACCGCAACTCATAAGTTCTAGTAAGCCTGAGTTTTTGATGGGTGGCAAAAGGAAGTTGCTCATTGACCACCGCAGGGCTCGAACCTGCAATCTCCTGATAACGAAATCGTAGTCAGACGCGATACCATTTCGCCAGGCGGCCATGAGATTCATCGTCACCATGTCACATTATTGCTCTGGACACGCACTCTCGGAGCCATCAGCGGCTCGCGCCCTTAGCCACATCCCGCCCTTCAAGGCAGTGTAAGCAGCGGTATGAGTGGGGGCGAGGTAGCATGACGCACCTCAGCATACAAGACGAGGGAAGATTTAATCCGACATCTTTCTATACTGGCCCGACCTTTGATTTGCGCCCATTCTTTCGGGGGTAGAGACACCAAAGGTTGTGCATCGGGGGCAAAATCAAATGCTCGAAAACGCTGAAGTAGCCTTATGAGGAGGTACGAGCATTCCTGATACGCGAAGCCCTGGCCGAGGCTGGAAACAGTCGTTAGTCTATTCATTTGAAACAGGTCCAAGTCCGCGACTTGCCACATCCTGGGGCCGCCATTGAACGGGAGAAATATGAAAGGATTAGCGACTTGTGGTTTTGTCTGGAGGGCTTGGCCTGGAATATCCAGCCACCGTTCGGGCTTGAACATCTCCGCATCTCCTCCCCAAACGTCGGCGCGCCGTTGCATGAGAAACAGAGAGTACGTGATGCTGACATGATCTTGCATGTATAGCGGCCCCATCTTAGAAAGAGGGGACGGAAGGGCGGATGAAACGACTGTGCAAGTTGCCTGAATAGCATGTTATAACAAAAAGTGTAGGGGAAGTAACGATACCAGAACGACGTATGTTACTAAACCGATAGCGTCAGCAAAGTGAAGACATCTCCGAGGGGAGACCTACACTGGAAGGCTTGGGAAGAGGCGTAGCACCTCATTTATGAAAGCTCGCACTAAGTTATTGTAGTTGATCAAAGACGTAACCAAAGGAAGGATATGGCTCACAAGCTTACAGTATTTCATTGATCGAATGTCAGCTGGAGTAGGTGCTCTCATTTGTCCCACCGTTCTCAGGACCTCTTTCCTTAACTCGAGCATTGCCTCAGGATGTAATGCAAGGGCGTATGTCGAAAATGTCAATAGAGACGCGGTCTGTTATTCGCGTGGTCAAAGGATTGCAAATAAACGGGTCAAGATAGCGCTAACGTACTGTATCGCGACCAGCCAAAAGCTTAGCGCAGAGGGCGTCCCGGATGGTCTTCTCATCTATACGAGACAATCAAAGTTAAAAGCTCCGAAAAGCTCGTACTTGATAGGCTCTGTACCGTCTACAGTGCGCACGAGATAGTCTAGAAACGTGACATCCTCCCTCAACAGATTTTTTCTGTCTCTCATAGCATGCTTCAAGATTGGATCGATGAAAGCGTTGATTATCCTCATCGGTCCTTTGGATTTATCGCCGAAAAGCTCAAACAATGGCCACGTAGAACCGCTGGGCGCTTATTGGTCAGCGTCCTCACTTTCCAAGCACAAGGGGCTAGAACAGCGCTCACATGCGTACGCGCGTGACTACGATATCCTGGAGCCTGTCAAATGCCCGTGCAAAGTCGGCATATCGATTATGATCTCCCTTCCCGTTGTCAGGTGCGTCAAGAGTATTCGTACAAGACCCGAAGAGGAATTCAGTGGTCGTATCAAGGGTAAATTTTTGAAACAGGTCCTAGTGACATCCAATATTTGGATCAATGGCCAAGTCAAGAGATTTAGAGTGTACAATTACTTGAAAATCACAAGCCTCGGAGCGAGCTGACATGTGCTCCATGATGCTGATTACTTTGGCGCTATGGCGCTCAAAATAGTCAAAATCGGAGACCCGCTCGCGGACGAAGAATGGGCGCGCCATGGATCGGTGCTATCACAATGATGAGCTCTGTGAGCAATTTGGTCAAGGGATCCCAGAAGTGGAGAGGCGCAAACGAATTTCCAGGTCTCGCCGTCCGATGTAAATATCCCGGTGCCCAGGAAGCTCTCAAACATATCATGGAACTTTTCGCCCTTTTCAAAGTCTTGAAATCGAGTTGCGAGTATTTCTTTAATGTTCTCCGGGTCAACCGTTACGATCTAGGATAGAACCCGCCCACTCAGATGTGAAGTAAAATAGAGCTAAGGACAAGGGCATGCCTGATGAGCCCAAAGGATGTTCATGTCCAGCGTAGGTCCATATTTCTCAGTCCATTTACGCAAGGTATCCGCGCAGTACTCTTTAGGTCCAGAGGTCACAAGCTCCCAGAGGATGTCGATATTTCCAGGCAATTTTCCCCTGATGCGCGGAATCGGCTTCGCTCCAAGCCGTTTTGCTTCGGCGGCCCTGCGGCGTCCAGAGAAACTCGAAAAGATAAGGTCATTTGCCGGAACTGCGAGAACGTAGAGCAGCGTTCGGGCATAGGTCGATGATATCCAGTCTGGCAGAGTCTTCGAAAGGAAGTAAACCACAGTCAAGGGGAGCACAAATGTCCAGAAGATGGAACGGAGAAGGAAACGACTATGGAGTGCCATGGGATGTCGGCACAAGCAGCGAAAGTATGTAAACCGCACGTGATTCACGCGGCAGCCGTTGGCCAAACAAAGCACAGTTAAACTAGGACCTGCGAGCTCAAGGACACACAAGATGCTCAGGTTTCCAGCGAGTATTGATGTGAATTACACGGAAAGTCCGAAAAAAAAACACCAGAAAGTAAAAGCGTAGATACAATAATAACACAGGTACTCCAACTCAAGCTTGTCCCAACGACGTTGTACTCATATTCGGGTGCGCCGTTCGTGGAATCACAGTCGAGGGAGACAGGTGGCCAGGGGACGGCAGCGAGCTTTGGGAGGCCGAGTGCGGATCGGGAAACCCGTATCCACTCGCCGCTTCGCGTGCTTGAAGCATTCGGATATAGGCAATGCGATGGAAGTAGTTCAGCGAGGCGACGAATTGGGCACCAACCTACGGGGCCGCTCTGCTGTCAGAGATATGAACCAAAGGTAAGAGAGAAAAAGGGGCCCACATTATGCGCTCGTAAAGTATTCAGGAAATCAACGGTGATCTCTCGGATAATTTCTTGTTGGTGGAACAACCCAAAGCCGATAGGTAACAGACCTCCAGAGTGAGGTGGAAGCCAAGAGAGGAGCTGGGAAGCACGGGTTAGCTCAGACACGTAAGGACGTGGTGCAAGGTATGCAAACTTACTTCTACAATTTGCTCGTATGTCCGTACATTGGCGGATATTGATCGCCAGATAAGATCCACCTCGGCATCAGGCATCGACCTTGCGTTTCTTAAGCGCCATATCTGATAATGCACGTCAAACCCTCTAATGGTACTATTCTTGAGGTATGATTGAAAGTCCTTCAAGTTGAATGGCACGGTCAGCTCCGTAACCCAAAGGGAGAGAGTTAAGGGCATCTACCTGCTTCCAAAACCCATAACTCTCGGTTGCTCTCCACCCCTCGATTCGGGACATGTTAGACACCATTTCTCGAGGCCCAAGATTATCATCTGCAACGATACCACTTCCCAGCTGACAAGTGTCGCCCTCAATAAAGGACAAGCTGGGGTACCCAATGGACGTTGAACCGAATGCGAGTTCTTCATATCGGGCAGCAACTCGGAGGAATTTGAGAACATAGTCCGTGAACCGGGAACGTACGAGAGTTTCGCCATAGTGGAATGATATGGCAGAAAGGATCTAGAGAGGGAGGTTTAGTTGAAATCAAATAGAAAGGTAAGAATATGCCCACGTCTTCCATGAAATGATTATCTGCCGAGTCAGCTTTGGCCACAAACTCGTTCTTGGGACCCTCCTTTCCGTCCTTTGGCGCTGATGCGGCAATTTTACTTGCATCGTCCTCTACACTCGTTGGAACGATACCGCTGCGCGATAAGAGGGTGTGCGGATTCGAAGAGAGCGGTGGGGCAGGTCGGATATCCTTGTTTACAATGATTTTCCCCGTTTCAATGTTGCACAGCACATCCCATATTGAACGGCTCTCAAAGATTGGATTCGTTACGCCAACGATGAAACCTGGGCTATTAATGGTCTGCAGTCAGTGGCAGGATGCATGGGGGATGTAAAGTGGGCCGGCATACACAGAAACAAAGATATGTTCGTTGGAGAGATTGCAGTAAGGAAAGGCCCTTTCAGTAAACCCGCGAAGCAGCCCAGATCCAGATCCCAGAGCACATGCTGCGAGGACGAAGCTTGCCACAAGTCCTGCTGGTTTGCCATAGCCCAAGAAAACAACTCGTTTTTGCGTGACAAGAGCGTTAAATAGAACAATAATGGGGTGCGTGAGATGACCGTTAGTGTGAAGGTGTGAATGAAGGGGACCAGTAACAATGGCCGTGGGTGATGAGAACGTTTGGACAAGTTCAATGAGCGAGTACTGATGTGGATAGGTAAGACTGGTATGAATTTGGAGAAGGGAAGCTACTCACGTCTCCTACTTCTCCAGGGAAAAGATAGAGCGGTATTTTGATGGGCAAGACGAAGCCTTTGTACGCTATTGATGTTGAAAAGAAGTGGGTGTCCAAGTTCCTTGGCTGCTGGTGTGAATCGGACGAAGAATGGGTTGATCCTTTGGCTATTAGACGATCCTTGGGTCCTGCAGATTGACCAGAAGCAACCGATCCTCGGTCGAAAGATGTTCGCTGTATAGTTTCTTTCGCATGCTCCATGTCCGAGTGAAGGTCCTGCTCTCCAATCCACACCACGCTTCCTCCTAGCGCTGAATCCATATCCGAGCTCATAGAAGTTGGTGTCACAGGTCGTACTTGTCCCGCTGTACTTCCCTCGCTTAAAGCATCATCAGCTCCGCCGTGTTCACCCACATCATGGGACGAACGCCGGCCCTGCGCGAACTTTTCTATGAATGTATCCCTCCGTTCTGATGAGCGCAGAACGAGCTTTTCGCTACGAGAGAGGTGAGGAATAGCGCTGAGGTCCATCGCGTTTACGGCGTCAAATAACCGAGCGAGACATTCCATAGAGGGATCGGAGAAGTAGTCTTCGAGTGCAACCAAAAGGATAGGCTATCTCAATGGGCCAAATAAGAACCGGCCCCCTAGACGAGCACAAGTGCGGGATTCACCTTGAATATCTGGATGAAG